TTGCACACAGACAAAAGGAAAAGTTCGCAAAGAAACGTGCTGAACAGAGCCGTAAACGTACCATGTCTCAATCATCTGTTTCTAGTTCTGGCACAAAGAGCAGTAAAAAATAGAAATGGTTAAATAAAACAATTTTTTTTAAATCATAGCTTTGTTGTTTTTATTATATTAGTTATAGAAGTCCTGAGCCAATATTATCTATTAAGGTTGAGATGGCCGCGGTTTCTTTTATTCCAGTTCAGTATTTCAGTATGAAAATTAAAACTAGAATCTTATATCTATAACAAAAAAAGCTCCATTTAGAAATATCATATTACATAAATACAATATTTTAGTAATAACATTCATTTTACAAAATACTACTGAACGCCGTTATATTATAAATTTATAACAAATGTTGATAATTTTGCTTATTATTCTGTTAATTATATCAGCTTAGACTGTACTAATAACTAACAATGGTTAACAAGAATTAAAATAGCCTCGAATTGTCTCAGGAAAACGTTTGAAAATCAAAGTTAATAAGGAAAATTATACTTCATAAAAAAACTATTTTCTTTTGAAGTCTTTTACAATAAATTAGGCACGAATTTCATCATAATAATTTACAAAATACCTAACRTTTCCAAAATTAAACTCTCATCTCCATTTTCATGGCAATCGGCACTTTTAAAGAATTGAATACAAGTCTCATAAGAAAAATACGCCTGAWTTACAAATTAATCTTCACACCAGTATGTAGGGAAAAACAGTGAAAATCCGTTTAGTGGAAGTTTTTCAGTCAATCACCTCATGAGGTCAATGTGGTAAAAATGAAGAAATGTATACAGCGCTCGAAGACGTGCGTCGTCTATGTGACTAAGTCCATGAGAAGTTATCGGACAATAGGCACAGCATTGATTAAACTGATTTAGCTCGTTCAGATTCCTGAGGAATTATTCCCCGGATGGTTGTCGAAGAGTTTCGCGTCAATGAAATAGACCGTCGAGGTGTCATATATTTGTTTTGTATTACCCGCGACGCACTCGCTCCTAGCTCACAAGTCATAATCTATTAATTAATCGTTGACCGTATGAATAAAATCTGCAGTTTGAAAATACATTTCAAAAATGAGTTTTCAAAATTCTCGAGTTTTATTTTTTATTTGCCATCAAAACGTTTCTACGACCATCGAGACCTCGAGTAGGTATTAGTGGAAACATGWAAACATGTTTTTCTRATRGYCTCATTCATTTGATGAAAATTCCTATCGTGATGGCYTCTTAAGGGAATTGGTGGAGGACAGTTTTTAAGGAGTTCATATTGCTTCTTAATATGCAATTTTCAATTAGCAYGCATCCGCGGGCCTCTTGAAATGTGTGCGTATAAAGACGTCATCACTAAGTAGTAAAATGAATATTTTATAATGTCTGTAACTGCGTGTAGGAAGAGACCACCTGGTGCAGCTCGTGTGCCCAACTGTCTAAGTCACAGACTCTGGCACTTGGCGTCGTGACTTCCGGYGATCGGTTAACAATTTATGTTTATTTGCATATTGTACTATCTGCAATCCATCCTACAGATTGACATAGTAATGCGTTAATATTACAGAAAACTGATCCGAGTTCGTCATAATATTTTAAGTTCATGCGCGTCATACACTCATACCACAGAATATAACGATGATAATTAATAATTTAATAATAATTATGATATGACGATGGAAACGCGTGTTATTCTAATATTTCTGATTTAAATCCCATTGGCGGATATCCGGGGGGGGGCTTCGCCCCCTTGATAGCCACAAAGCCCCCTCTAAAATGTTTGCCATATTATAAAAATATTGTACAGTTCAGTAAAAAATATTAAGAAACATTTTTTTAAATATATATTGTACATTTCAGTTAAAAATGTTGAGGCAATTTTCATTATATTATATACCTATACAAGGTGACACCCGTTAGATCACTCTGTATATAAATAATTTAGAACACATACATAGCACCATTGATTATACATATTATAATCAATGATAGCACTGTTGAATGATGACATGATTTCCGTTAAATTGTTATTAACTATTTGCAACATTTTATTGAGGTACCGTGGTCCGTGACACCGTGTTCTTATCTTTCGTGTAAAAATAAATATTAGGGAAATCCAAAACTGTCGTCTTTTGTGTCAATTATGTTGGCGAGTGGCCCGTTTCCGTAGCTGCCTGTAACTGTGTGAGAGGTAGCAATGTTTTGTTTGTCAATTGTAAATAGTACGTCGTGTTGAATAACGTAACTTGTCGGTTGTCATTTCAAACAACTGTTTGCAGTGTACGCCGTACGGCATATTAGTATTTAGTTTGTTAATTTGTTAATTGTTATTATTAGGCTATTGCCTTTTTTAGTTTTTACTTTAAACTAAAAAATATGTTTAGTATTTTTAACATAAGAAAAAAGTGCTGCCCGTCGAGGCAGAAACGTCTAGCTCTGCGTCTTGCTCCACTGATGTGGTCAGTACTATAAATACCAGACAGACTATCGATGATTTAGGACACCTTAATTCAGGTCCTATTCAGCCAAAAGGGGGTGTGGGGGCGTAGTCTCCACCCCCGCGGCTTTGGTTCATAAAAAAAAATTGTAGCCCCCCCACATTTTTCGATGGATATCCGCCAATGTTAAATCCATAATAATCAACGTTTGAATATTTCGGTGTCGTGGAAGCGGCAGTGGAGGAGGGTGATATTGAAAAGTGTGGGCTGACCGATACCAAATACGTAGATGATTAGTGATTACCTATTCAAATCGGTCATAAAAAGTATTATCGTATTACTATAACGTCGATGTCGATTAGAAATTAGAATGACACACAATACACAAAACGAAAAGATTGGTATGCTTTGGCTTGAATAAATTGTCGGCCACCGATTCCATCGATTTTATATTCTGAACGGAATGATGAATATGTGTATTTTACAATTACAATGATGTTATTTCGTGTCCGTTTCATCACTTTTTGAGACAGCAGAAATGCTTCGGTTTCYTTCAAGGCTTCAACAKCATCTTTTCTGGTAGGCAAGTGAATTGTCTAGGTGGTTTGGGAGTTCAATAGTGAAAAGTTCCCAATAGTTTTCAACAGCGTCAGGCAAAACATTACAGAACAATTTAGATTTTTACGCATAACTGGTTTTTGGACAAATTGATTTTGCTTTTTTTAGTGTAACACTATCAAAACTCCCATAAATTCATGGAATTTTCACTGAATGTACTAATATTTGCTATTTTTATGAACTTATAGATTTTCAAAATATTGCTATTCTTTATTAGTTATTTATAAGCAACGAAAATTTYCAGTTTTATTATCTTTTTTACTGTCGATTAACAAAATTGTTTGCTCAATTAAAAAACTCGAAAATTTAATAAAACGTTTCTCATAAGTTGTTTTTAGTGGAATCTTGAAAGTTGACCGTAAATCCACAATCATTTTTTTATGAGCAACTTAAGTTAAAATTCACAAACATTGAAAAAAWTGTCTAATTATTTTGGGTTATAAATTTAAAAAAAAATTTTATAGATSTCTGATTTGAAATTTTATACGATATTTCCTTTAGATTTTCATACATTTATAAAACAATAACAGTTTACTGGAAAGACAATTTTATTTTTACGAGCATTTAAAATTAAACATCGGATATTCAGAAGGATTTCACCCTTAAATTAACAATTTTCAAATATTTTGACTCATTCTGAGTTATTTATAGACATTATCATTTGTGTTAGTATTTTCCTCTAATAATGCCAATAAAATTTTATTCATTGGTTTTAAAAGGTTGATTATGTAATAAAAGGTTACTTATAAATATTTTAAGCTCAAATTTTTCAAATTCTAGAACGTTTTAAAATTAGTTCGTTGTTAAAAAATTAAAAAATGTTTAATTTAGGATTTAAATTTGAAACAAGGATTATCATTAATAGTTTAAATTACAATTAATGATATCTTGAATCATGGTTGAAACTGTGATCAAAAACTCTAGAAATATTTAAACACAATTATTTTTTACTGACAGTTTTAGTTCATATTTGGATAAAATAATAATTTTAGTAGTACTGTTAATTGAAAAATATTATTCGTACATATTTGAGACTTAATGTTTATTATTACATTGTATAGGCTAATAGGTACTAGACGTAGTAAAATAAATTACTTTAATCACAAAAAAAATCATAAAATTAGTAATATTATAGGCTGTCAGACCGTCTTCACTCTGAATCGGTTTTCATACATAAAGATTATTGAATTAAAATTTAACATATCCATTATGGGGACACTTTAAATATCTAATGTACAGCAGAAYGTTACCCATTTACTTGAATTTTATTTAAACTCAAATTTATTATTTAATCATAATTTGCATAGAATATCTGGAATGTGAATAAAACACTTGAAACAATTGGTCCAATTGCCTCTTAAATTGGGAAGTAGTTGAAATATTCAAACTTTTTCGGCAAAAGGTCTGGGTAGAGAACTCTTATATTAAGTGACCAGCACCACAATTGCTATTTATGTTATCGTCCACATCTCTGTGGATATACTTTAAATTCTGTTAGAGAAGATAGTGCGTCCTATTGTAAGTTTTGGGAGGTATGCATAGAAGTTTAATATATTTTGTAAATGTTGATTAAAAAAAGTCATGAATAACTTAATCACTATTGAACTAATAAAAACAAATTATTGATAGAGTTATTTTATTGTTACACAAAAATCGTAACATTTAACATACAATAATTATATACATCTTGTAAAAAAAATGATACCATGTCTAAGTAATAAAAAAAAAACATGATACAATTATTAACAAATAATTCAAAAACTAACAGTTATTAAAAGTCAATAAATATCTGACTATTCTTAATAGAGTTGTAGATATGTCTACATCCATCATTATAACTTCAATAATTTTATATGAGCAGATAACATTTATACACAAAATACATTTAGGTATAATTGTTTTAAATAAAGTAGTTGAATTATCACTTGTAATTTGAAAGCTCAAGTTCCTTGAACAAATGACGACAATACTGACTTCCAATTGATAATGGGTTATCACATTTTAACAATAATTTAGAATCGCTCTCTGATACAGTTTCAAAAGCTATTAAATACTCTTGATCAAAAGCACCTGAAATAATATATTTTGACTAATTAAATAATATTTATATTAATAGGGTAATTCAAAGCACATTTAGTCAAAATAGTGATAATTGACAGTATGTGATACAATTTCAAAAAAAAAAAAAAATCCAAAATCTAAATTAATGTGTTTTGAACACACATAAGTTAAAAAACCAGAACTTAGAACTAAGATTAGAAAAGGGAATTCTAGAAAGCTATATCTAGATATCACTTGTACAAATTCACTCATAAAATATATTATTTTAAAAATCTGTACTTTGGTCTAATAATCACAAGCATTTTTTCTTTAAGATAATTTAAAAAAAGTTTTTAATTATTCATTTTATACTAACTAATGTCAATGTTTTCACGACCAATTGCTGTAATCGTTAAAAACAGGATGTCTCTGTACAGAGAATGACTATGCGTTAAATCGTTTCCTCGTAATTTATTCCTCTCGAGAGCTAATTTTTTGAGTGGATCTATTAGATTGTTACGACGAATGTTTGATATAATTTTTGACATAACACTGAAACAAAATTGAAA